TTGTCTCGAACCTGAAGCGAGCATTGGATCCACGCTACTACTTCAATGGCCCATTAAGTTGGAAATTGAATCGTTATGGTTGCATAGAATGTCTTCTGTTGATATGGTACCCTGCCCCAAGTGTTCTTCCATTTGCTGATCTTCTGTAGACGATGAGATGCTCACTGTTAACCTCTGACAGCTACTCCTCTTTTGGTCTAACTTCGCTGAGTCCTTCAATGTCTCACTTGATTTTAGTAAGTTCTAATTCCGGCTCTTGAAGCCTTGCTTTACCTAGAGGTTATCTGCAGTTATATGTTTTCAGGGTTATTAAACCGTAGCTCTTTGATATTTAACCTGAGAATTCTTAGCATTTTTAGCCTGCATACGTGATCAGCTGCTGCGGGAAATGAGGTCTGTGGTTTCAGTTGTGATTTCATGTTAGACGATTTGGCCTAACTGCTCACTTTGCCAGATATATTTCTCAACGTATTACGGCACGGTTCAACCATCAAAATCTAGAGGCCCAGTTGTATATCATGTTGTCACACCCTAACGCGTTGTTGTTTCATGTCATCGTCATCCGAGGTATCAAGCTCTACTACAGCATAGCTAGATTATAATGATGTCTAGCGCTTTTGGCTTCTCAGAATGGTTTAGGCGATGTTGTTTGCTGCGGCCACAGTCATATTTTTTGTCGCTTTTAAGTCCGCCTATGCACTTGTTTTGCCATGTGGTGTTGGCTTCCAGCTTCGATCTCCTTCCCTCAACGTTGAGGTAATGGAAGTAGAACTTTGGTGGACTTCTCAAATTATTATGTCGTAATGTATCTACTTTAACTTCTGTTTTGCCTTAAGAAGATTTTAGACTTAGTGTAATTAATATTTTCTGGTCAAGATCAAGGCTAAGTTCTTGTCCGATTTACGATGGATCCTTGATTTTCTAGTCTTTGAAGTGAAGAGAAAGCCTTATTAGTAACGGTTATGTTGAAATCTTTCTAAAAACAGTCATCAAATCATCCTCTGATCATTTGATGGTTGCACTTTACTTGGGGTCATAACGGCTGTATTATTATTGACTATGAGAAGATTCTCCTTTTTCTTAAGCAGTGCATTGTTTAGTTGTATTTACATGTAGTAGTTGTAGTTGTTTGGTTAAGTGTTTTTTTTTACATTTCGAGTACGCTTTTAGAATATGTTTATCCAGGTACATTGGGGATGGTGAAGTAAGCGAACCGTAATATTGTTAGATGGATCCGATAATGATATATTTTGTTCGTTCTGTTTATATGTAAGAGATGGTAGTTGCTCTTTCCCAGTTTGTTTCTCAATGGAAGAAAAGGGCTGTCCATGTTATGATGACTTATATTCGCTGTATAATCTGGTGCAGGCCTCGTACTGCTAGAGATGCGTAGAAGTTGTGCCGGATCTAACGATGCCGTAATAATCATCCTTAATGTATTAGCTATTTGATTTTCCGCTGTTGTAGAAAACGTTTCCTCGAAGGAAAGACGAGAAGATCGCGAATATTAGCAAGTTTCGTGTCGACTTGCGTCTGCTAGCTGAACTAATCTTATGCGGTGTGCTTCCTGAGAAGGAGGCGCTGTCGGTGCTTGGCGCGGCACTCAACTACCTTGTGCAGACGGACAAGGAGGAGCACATCAATTTGGCCATCATCAACACGTTCTGCAAGTATTGCGGCGACGACTTCGCCGCACTGGCGTTGCATCGTAAGCGGCGTGCCGCGGCTTCATCGACCGGCGGTCCCACAAGCGTTACCAACAACACCACCGCCATTGCAGCACCGATCATAAATGTGGACCACCAGAAGAAGGTGTACAATCTGCTGTGCGACTACTTCCAGTCATTGCAGCGACACGTTCAACGCAGTCAGCGCGAGCTACAAAAGATGGAGCGCCAAAATAGGTGGCAGTACGAGAATAAGGGTGAAGTGCACCCGGACGCCGTGCAGCGTCTGGACGAGGCGAAAGCCAACTTCGACAAGCTGTTCGCAAACGCTAATATGTTCGCTGAGTTGCTGAGCAAGGAACGCTTCCAAATGGTCGTTGGGGACCCAACAGATGGCACAGGCGATGCGACCGGTTCAAGTGGCGACTTCCGCAGCGTCGTCGTGCAAACAGGCGTCGCGTCGCAGACGGCGACCGGCGATAACTCTGTCGCTGAGTCCGTCTGGGAGGATGAAGACACACGTATGTTCTACGAAACGTTGCCTGAGCTTCGAGCCATGCTACCGTCGATCCTGTTCAAAGATGTCGAGGGTGCTTCCACCGCTGCCGTAGCAGCAGCTGCCGATGTATCATCATTAGTCGAAGATGAGGTGATTACAGAATCGGACGAAGTCAGCGCCGTCACCTCTGATGTCGATATGAAGGAACTCGGTCCAGAAGACGAGAAGTTGGACAAAATTGCTCCGACGGAAAGTAATCGATTTTCGTCTTTGATAGGAATTAAACAGTTCACAGTAGTACGTCGAAAAATAAATTTCTGGTCTATTAATGAGTGATCTTTTATCGCCATGAAATTAATAATGACGTTCGTTACTTGTTACTGTCATGCAGACAGCGCGATGCCATTGTCACGATCGAATATTCTATCCAAACCGTTTTATTTCAGAACCGCTGGTTATTTTCGGATCTGTGACTGCTCCATTAATTGAAGTCTGCCTATATCAATTGTTTCTTTCAGCCTATCATATGAAATTTCTGTGTGAAATTATCTCTGAACACACTATCGAGCTTCTATTGTCAAACTTGTGACTTATTTATTAACTTGTGACATATTTTACATGTATGTCCATTTTTTTCTTGATTGAATTTGGCTCTGTCTGAATTCATTACCTGACTGCAGTTCATCGATGAATTCAGACTTGGAAATGTGACATCTCACGATTCGAATGTGGAAGCCACTTGATGGACTTCATACGATGAATGTGAAATGATTTGAAATTATAGTAGTAATGTAGTGCAGTCGGAATAATACTGTATTAATTCGATGTTGTCAATAACCGTGACTTAATTGAAGCAGGTGTTTCAGGTGACAACGATGACCAGAACTTGGTCATGTCGGGTGGTGAAGATGGAGACGAAGCTAAACTGTCAGAGCCACCGGAAGCAGAAGACGAAGTGGAGGGCGACAAGTGTTCAGGTAGCACCCTACGGCAGATGATGGAGACGTTCGTGTCTCAGTTGCCGAATCTGATCAACCGCGACATGATCGATCAGGCAGCGATCGACTTCGTCACCAACCTGAATACAAAGACGAACCGTAAGCGCCTGGTGAAAGCGATGTTCAACGTGCACCGCACCAGACTCGACCTTCTGCCATTCTATAGCCGTCTGGTGGCGACGTTGAACCCGGTGATGCCGGACGTCGGTATCGAGCTGTGTAAAATGCTTATTGCCAACTTTCGTCACCAGGTACGCAAGAAAGACCAAATCCTGATAGAGACGAAGGTGAAGATCGTCAGGTTCATTGGCGAGTTGGTCAAGTTTCGTATCTTCCCGAAATCAGAGGCGCTGCACTGCCTGAAGATCCTACTGTTCGACCTGCGTCACCATAATATAGACATGGCATGCAATCTACTGGACAGCTGCGGCTACTTTCTGTACCATTCACCAGATAGTTACCAAAAAACCAAGGTGCTTCTGGAACAGATGATGCGCAAGCGCCAGGCGGCCCTGCACCTCGACCAACGCTACCAGCTTATGATCAACAACGCCTACTATACGTGCAACCCGCCGACTGCCGGTTCAGCCGGCCTTACGCCCAAGGTAAGGTGGTGCGTTGTCATAACGCCCAATTCAGTTAACTTGACAACGTTTCAGATCGAGCGCACCTCGATGCAAGAGTACATTCGCAAGTTGGTGTTCGTCGATCTGTCGAAGATCACCGTCGAGCGTGTACTCGTCCAGATCCGTAAGCTGGACTGGGACGACCCGGCGGTGGTGCGTTATGCGGTGCACTGCCTGTCGCAACCGTGGAACGTCAAGTACAACTGCATCCAGTGGCTAGCCAGTCTCCTTGCCGGCATCATGTACTATTACGACAAAGTCGGATACCAGGTAACTGCTAGCTCGCTTCGTTGTCTTTCGTCAATCGCAGCAACGAAGTGATTGTGCGGTTAATAATTTAGCTTAATTTATTAATTTCATCTTTCGAATGTAATAAATCGTTATTTCTTCTTCACGAATACTGTATGTAACCTTTTTTTGCTCATAATTACACTATCTGTTCCTGAAATTATCAAAATTATCCGTCGTGCTACTATTGCCTCTGAAAAATGACTGGTTTATTTCTGTTTGCATCGTTATCTTGTGTCGCTTTCATAAAAATACAACACTGTCTTCATTAGTGCTGTGTCTTTTATGCCGTTCATTTTCTTTCACCTATTTTCCTTATTCTTTCTTCGTTTCACTGCTTTAATCGCTTACGTGCTTATCCTTTTTATCCGATGGTGATATCTCAATTACATATTATTAATTTATGCTGTAGAAGGAACACGGTCGTGGGTTCTGAAAGCTGCACGTACTAAATATATTTACCAGGCTTCTAATTATTTCGTAATTTATTATTATTAAGAGCCAGTTTAAGTCTTGTCGAACCATCACTTCTGTTTATTATTACTGTGATGATGCTAAGAACTTAACGATCGGAGTCTGTGTTGTTTCGTTTCTTCTTTTGATACTTTACTCGTTTGTTATGGCAGCTCAGAACATGACTAAGCCCTCTGCCGTACCTGCTTCCTCTTCAACATATGCTCAGAGCTTCTTGTACCAAGTTAGCCATCTGTTATTCTGAAAGCCTCAGGTATTTTTCTGATCGCCAGCTCTTTTACTTGCAGTGTCGGCTCCTGCTGCTGTTTTGCTCTCTCAAGAAGCTCAAAACGATCGTCGATCTTGGTTTGCCAATTATGCAATCTGCTGCTTGAGTTCGGCATCAGCCACAAGTCCCCTATAATCGAAAACGTTCTCCGGCCACGTATTCCTCCACATACCATTTCGTAGTAGCCTATTCTACATCCATGATTCCCGATATTGTCTATCGCCTGCTTGGTAATGCAGCTCATAAAGAAGCCCCGAACTGATGGTTTGCCTTCGTAGTCTGTCTCGATGATCAACTGCCACATGGTCTGCCGAACGTCAGTTGTCTAAAGCGTCGATGTCACTTCTTTGCCAAGCGGCTGCGAGGTCATTGCATAAATCAGAACATTTCGGAATGCAGATTCAGCGATACACTGAATGCCATTAGCCTCTTATTCAAGTTTGGCAGCATTTCAGATGTGTTGCATGGGGCACGGAGTGTCGTGTGTCTTGTTTTGAACTTTTTATTCCTTACGATGTTTTCGATAGAAAATATATGCTGGACTACCGGCGCACCGTTACGCCAGACTGTTGGCAAGGTCAATGATTATGCACGATGTTGAACGAGGCTCGCTCTCCATTTAATGTAAATGTCTTAATGCCTCCATTTAGTTTCCGACCAGCAGATATGGCCAACATAATTGCTTTATGAGTTTTTTATGTTTCACAGCTGAATCTGTGGCATGTATTCTTGTCTGTTCTAAGGCGTTATTTTTCTGCTGCATAATTTTATGTACATTATCGCAATCGATGACAAAGACATTGTAACTCGTATAAACTTTTCGACTGCTTATTATGTTGTACTAAACACCGCTGATTCAAAGAAGTAGCGTACTTTATAATGAAATATTTAAGTGTAAAAATGACCTGTTACGACCGATCCACCAACTTAGTCAATATTCTTAGACAAATTGAAGTACAAATAGATGCAGAATTTTGTTTGTTTTGTAGCAGTTTGTTATTTTCATTTATACCCAACTTTAGATCCAGTTAAAACTAAATAATATTTTAGGTCGTCGACAATATTTTGGAAGAGATCCGAATCGGCATGGAAGTGAATCACCACAAACTGAATCAAAGGCGCATATGCTGTATGAAATATCTCGGCGAGATGTACAACTACAGAGTTGTCGATTCTGCGATAATATTCAACGTTCTGTATTCGCTGGTTACTTTCGGCGTGGTAGGTGAACCGAAAGCAAGCAGTCCGATCGACCCGCCTGAGCATCTCTTGAGAATTCGTCTAGCGTGCATTGTGCTGGACACCTGCGGCGCGTATTTTGACCGCGGGACGAGCAGAAAGAAGTTGGACTGTTATTTGTTGTATTTGCAACGTTACTGGCTGATGAAGAAAAGTAGCGAGTTTTGGAGCTCCGCTGAACACCCATTTCCTGCCGAGGTCGACTATGTGTTTTTGGAAACGATCGAGCACTTGCGCCATAATTTCAAGCCGGCCGAAAGTTTCGAAGAGGCATCTAAGAAAGTGAAGGACCTAGAAGCGGAGTACAAAAGCAAGGTCGAGTCGGCCCTGAAATTTGTGCAGCCGATCGAACATGAGGTTGGCGAGTGTATGCCTGCAGATGACGAGGAAGGCGAGTTCGCTGGGCCCCGCCGGCTGGAGGACGCGGATGAAGAAGGAGGCTTTAACGGCGGCACGACCGGAAGCCAAGACGGTGCCAGTCAGGGTAGCCGCGAACCGCGCAGCTTAAGTCAGAAGGACGCATGGCCGGTGAGGCTGCCGAACGACGATGAAGAGGACACCGGTCTAACGGTGCACTGGAAAAACGCCGAGACCAACCGTACACTGGAGGACGAAGACTTCATGAAGGAGTTCGATACGATGATGGCTGAGATGATGCAGCAGCGAGCCAGCGACCAGTTGAAGGTACCCCAGGTCGAATTCACTGTTCCAACCAATGTCAGGGCAAAAGCGAACGTGAAGACGAAATTTGGTACGTTTCAGTTTCTGACGAAATTGTTATTTATATTTGATCTCGCCTGTCTTGGAAAGTTAATACTGACACAAGCAAGGTATTGTACGACCTTGGCAGTAGAAGAGCGATAGAGCGTATTTTTTAACTGTGACAACCTCCGCTCCTGCAGTGGTTCGCTACCTGAGCCACGGAGATGACGGCTCAGTCACTTTTTGCCTTAAGAAATCTGCCTAGAAAACCGAGGAAACACTGTGACCGCAAACAAGACTTTAAAACACGGATTTGAGCCAACCGCCGATATTAACTGCAGAAGAAACGTAATTATATCATGACTGTTTCTTCTTTCCCTCTGGACTTGATATGACGCTTGCGAAGCCAGCTTTTCGGTGTCGTAATTGACCGTTTATATTCGATGCGCATTAAGTAATTGACAGTTCGTTCGTGAACTGACTAGAGTAAGATGGATGAGATGACGGATGATGTCTGCCGCGCTACTCCATTCATACTTGATATACTCGGGATCATCGCAGGGAGCATCACTGAGGAAATGCTTCGCCTGCAAGATGGGTAGAGAGGGGGAACAAATTGATCGTCATGCCATTGCACTAGCTATGGTAGCATAGAGCATGGCATCTCATTTTCGGGATTCGCATAACACATGGCACCTGCTTGTGTTCGATCACCATATCGTCGTAGCCGAACATCGTGTATAACCAGCTCTCATAGCGAAGTTGCTTGAAGAACTTTGGTTGAAGCACTTCCTGCTTCTTGATGTTGACGTTTTATATCGCGACTAAGTAGGGCCAACTAACCGTGGAGAACTGGTTTTTCAGTGTCTTCCATGGTGCAGTGAAGTTTCATTATATGGATACATGATAGTCAATTATTCAAAAACTGATGCTGGTTTTTTGATCGTTTCATTTCACTTAAGAGGACGAAGAGGTCAAGGACGAGGGCGTTCAGAGCCCGACTGAAAACAACGACACTGTCAATTTTTACCTCATGACCAAGGGTAAAGGCAGCAAACTGACGCTGAAAACTTTAAAGGTAATTTTATGCAAGTGTTTTTGTCTCCACCGTTGTTTCATTGCTTGGTTGGTGAATGGATTTTAGATTCCCGTTAGTTCAGACTTCGCATTAGCTCTTAAGGACAGAGAGGAAGCTGAACTTCGCGAAAAGGAAAAGATGAAGCAGTTAACTTTGGACATGAGCCGTCGCATGGAAGAAGAAGAGATTGCCGGTACGTTACTATTTATTTGATTCTAATTTTTTGTTGTTTGCACTGGCTTCTATTGAGCCCCAAATATAACGCAGCAAATGGTGAGAAGCCTACCATTTCAGCACGGTACTTGGGTAGTCAAGATCGCTGACAGAAGCATCACATGTTGTTCGTTTTGGTACGCTTGAATATTTCAAATAACCCATGACCCCTCAATGATTAGCCTTCATGACGTATTACACAACGTGTATTACAGTACGTTGTGAAATTGATATTTTCAGTGAACATGCGGTATTTGACATAAGCTGGTGTACGAACAACTGACACTGTTTAGGCGATAGCATATGAGGAGTACCACCTCCTAAGACATAGTTCGTAATGAGCGCCAGGTGGCAAAATGATGTGAGCTTGCGGTGCACAGGGCACTGCAGGTTCTCAAATATCATGGAGCCGTTGTTTGCTTGACTGACCATCCTGAGCAACTAGTAGCTAGGGAGTGGTACCATTCGCCCTGAAATCTGATCTTCGAGGACTCATGCGTTTTCAGATGTAGCAAATGTGACTGTACAATATTGCGCAAACTTGCCCTCATGTCGTCGTCGTTCTGAATCGTGAATGATATCTGTTGTTGGTCGTTTCATGCATCTTTTTTGTTACTCTGTTTCATAAACGCTCTTTGTGCCCCTCTTAAATGTAGCGTCAGTACCTAATTGGTTAATGGTGAGCAGTCAGTATCCGGTACTGATCGTCTGAATTCCTTATGTTATCTATTACAACAGCGTATATTTCAATATTTGGCCGTTCAACTATAGACCGATGATCGATCTGTCTTCAGAGAAAAAGGAAACTATGATAACAACAAATCAATGACCCAGTGTCGACGCCTGGTCATGCCGAAGATGAAATGGCGGAAATCCATGTTGCTCATCGCAATTTCTTAAAGTTGACGCGTTACCTAGTGGATTCAGAAATGATTAAGTTCATCTGAGAACGTAATAAATATGCAACCCATTGTTATGGGTTCTAACGGCCGCTTCTTGTTGACCTGCACTAAAGTTTTATAAAATTTTTCACCAACAAAGTTCATAAGTGATGAAATTCTGATTTTCCTACTGTAGCTCTCACGGTTTGACCAAGATTTCGGTGCGGTAGTACGTGGTACGTATTATCACTAGCCTTCTTCAGGATTTGCGATGATATTTTTGTCAGGTACCTGTACTATACTGATGCTAAGTTTCGATTTCAGAGATTGAAGGCAGCGGTCCCCGTGCTTTCAGCGCGGCTGACCAGAAAAAGGCAAATCAGCAGCCACGATTTCAGCACCAGAAAGGAGCCCCGAATCCGCATGAAATATTTTCTAACCGATGGTTCCGTTGACGGCGACAAAAGAGCTAGCTTGTGAAATCAAGGCGATAAACGACGAGGAACAGACGTCAGAAACTACGTCGCTTCCAGTTTAAAAAGCAACGGGGCGCTTTCTCGGTGTATGCCTCAGTGGGGAACAGGCGTTTGTTAACGGAAATTCTGACGCCAACCTAATATACAGTGTGGTTGTCGGTGACGGTGGCGCCTGTAGTTGAGTAGTACAACCGTCGATGTCGCAGGACCGTAGACGTTGAGTATCGAACGACCAGCACGCTGCCTTGCTTCGACTCGAAACTGGCATTACTTCGCTTCAGAAGACTTACCGTTCTGACGTCTTTTCGAATCGACTAATCATGCGCTGAAAATAAAATAAAATTCATCATCGTTAAACTAAATTTTAACACAGTCCCTGATTTTCTCATTGTTTGAAGCTAATTTTACAGATTAAAATTTGTCTATTTGTCTGTTTGGTTTCTGTTTCTAACTTTGTTACTAAGACGCAGGTACGAATGTCAAAAACAGGAAGTGGATGCCACATGACGAAGTGGGGAGATTTAGCCTATTTCATGTAAATCCTCGAAAGGCAGTGACACCAGCTGGTAACAATCGGGTAGGAACTGAGAACCACTGAGCCGTGCAAGTAATCAGAAGAGCTCAAAGAACAGCGGACTGCATTGTCTGATCCAAACGTCCAAAGTGTTTCAAAGCTTTTCTCGCGTGGAAACCGTCCGCAGGCAGTAGATACTTTCGCACACAATACATAGCATGAAAAAAATTCATCGCGGAGGTATGCGTGATTAGGACAAATAGTGTGGCATTTGTAACAGCACTGCATCATGATTAATAGTCTGAAATACAGTTTGTAATAGTCAAACACTATTATTTTTCACTTAGCCTGTTAAAGCCTTACTAACTTTAAACAATGATGGCATCAGCAGCGAAACTTCTGTTTGAATAATTCCGCATTAGCAAAGGCGAACGTCAAGGTTTCCCGGTGGTACATCATTCATTCAAAAGCATTTTTCTCTTTTGCGACGTTAGTCACCTAGATTGGGCGTGCATTGCCTACAACTGAACAAGATTGTGACATTGAACATTGTTGAGACTTATGATACCAAAAGTACAGATATAGAAAAATTCAATCAAGAGCTAGAACATTTATTGATGAGCATACTGTCGTCTTGAAATTCAGTGCCAAAGTTGGATGATGAAGAAACGGTGTATAGGTCACGGAAACCTGTGTGAACATGCCCTCGACCGAGCAGGCATTTGATACGCGTGCTTTGAATTTACAACAAAACTAGGACATGAGAGCAGATGGTGCGGAATTTGGTCCTGCAACTTCTAGTTGCGTTGATGTGCGCAAGCACCTGTCGCAAACGAGAATATTCCTAGTATTTGACTGGTTAATTTGCTTTGCAATTCAGAATATAAGACCCAGTTAAAAGTGTCGGTAATTTATTTAACAAAATCTACTTGCGTAGCAACGCGATAACAACCATGAAGGCCACCAGTATTTCGTTCCACCGTGATATTGTTTAGTACGTCTAAGTGATTTGTTTTCGCAAACATTAGCAGTACCTGCGCATAATATATCGGCGCCAAGAATTACTGTGTAAAATCCTTATTCACCACATGCATAAAGGATAAAAGCATCCAAATCGTGAGTTGTCTTCGATTGCCCGTGTTTTTTCCATGTCGGTCTGTTTATTTTTGTTTTGGTAAGCAAGTTGAAACCAAAATAACAACTGTCTGTGTAAAAATTCGTGAAATATTTGTCTTTTAATGCCGGTGCGCCGGGTGGTACTTTCGCCATCGCTTATTGTGTTGTTCTGGTTTCTTATTTCACTTTTTTGCAATTTATTATCCTGAAACTGCAGCTGAATTTTAATTTCTCTAAAATTTTTGGTGTTTTATTCATTGTTAAGGTTATTTCGTCAAGTCTTCGATTCCATGGAAGTGAAACATATCATTTACTCATGTACATTTAGTTTTCGTTACTTGGCCATATTTCAATAGATTCTCTCTATTCTAACGGAACATACATTTTAAAGCTTTATTATCGTATAGGCATCTAGCCTTTAGGTGCCTGTCGCAAAAATTCGAATTTATGACATTGTTTTTCATTGCAACCTTTGTTTCCTTAGGTATTTCTTAGTATTCCCAACTATGAAATTGCTTAGAAACTTTAAAAATTGTTCACAAGAAAATTTACCTTGTAACAAAAATGTAGTT